TTAAAAAAATCAGGATACGCCTTCAGAGATCAAGTAAAATATTTTCAACAACACAAGCCAAGCGTTACCTTAGCGAGAATCTATGATGAACTTTACCACTTGTTCTTTTCCAATATAAATAAAAAAGAAAATCTCAAAAACCAAAGCATCTCTTTCCACTTCTCACACTCTTTAAAAAATCACGAACCAAAATTTAAACATCTCTAAGAAAAACATAAAATACTCTTTTTGCACTCCCTCATCTTTCTTTTCGTTTTTTCAAAATGATTCTTAATCTTTTCGACTTGTTGAATTTTTTTTTTCGAGAGCAGAAAACGTAAAAATTGTTTAAAACAAAGTTTTTCTTGTGAATTTTTCATTTCAGCTATAAGTGCCAACTTGCGTACATAGAGTGGCTTTTAAAAGAGGATAAATCGTTTAGTTTAAAGATTTTGGTTAAAAAGAAAAATCTTTGAAAGTTGAGAATTGAAAATCGACATTAAAGGGTACTTACAATTAAAGAGGGAAATGAGATAAAAAGGAGGTTATTATTTTGATTACCTGTGTTCTTTGGTGTGGATAATTTGAAAATTTCTAAATTGACAGTCTTGTATAAGATTCTCCCTATAAATGTCATATGTGTATACGAATGTAAAACAAGTCGTGCTTGATGGGAATCGAACCCACGACCTGAAAAGAGGCGATCTATGACCACTCGATCAGAGATACCTGCCACTCTGCCATCGAGGCACTTATCTCACTTAGGCTATACTCATTACACATATAAGCAGTTCAACGCGAGCCCTATGTTCAGCCTATGCATTTCTACTACAGATATGCTCTTCGAGCCATATCCACATCTTGTAATTCAGAAGAACTAGTTTGATTATTTCTGTAGGCACAGCTTAGCCTTTAGCATTCAAATCGATGATCAGCACACAATGTTATGAATTGAATACAGTTCATAAAGACTTCAGACTTTTTATGAAAGTCAAGCCATATAAAAATATAATAAGAACCCTTTTGTGCAGTTGAATAGATTATAGAATATATATAAATCTCATACTTAAATTTTAAATCACTAAAAAATCTCTGCTATTCATATTTTGGTTCCAATTGATGGAAAAAAGTAAATCACTGTGATAAAAAAAGAGTCTATGGAAATCGATTGAAATTCACAATGAATTGAGTTTGATGCACCAATAAATATTTTCCATCAAATTAAATCTCCACATGCAGCGATTCACAGCTGGAAGTTTCTCACAGTGATTTTATGCTCTCATTTTTTGCGTACATATTGATTATTTTTCCATTCATATTGCTGTTGCTGTTGATTCGATGATGAAGATGAGAGAAATAAAATTGCAAATATTACAACACAGGACACAAAAAAAAAATTGAAAATATCTCTCACATGATTTAATTAAAGACCATTTATGTTGGTATAGGCTATTTATAGCCAAAAACTATACAGCATTTATTCAGTGAACGAGTGCTGTGCACAGAAGAGTAAAAAAAATTAAACTTGTGAGTTTAATTTGCCATTAGCATTATTTTTACTGAAATGAATGATTTTGTCTTAAGCATCAAATGTTTTATCTGCTTAATGTTCATTCTGTCTATGTGTTGCCTGCAAACGACAATTTTCCGCTCTTTTTCATTTTACCGACATCGTAATTAATAACATAAAAATAAATTGCTACATTTTTTTTCTGTTGCCTTTCCTATCTTCACCAGCTATCTTTGTTCTGTATTTTTTCTTCATTCATTTTCAAGCTGTCGTCATCATCTTAGTTATCTCTATGTCCTTCTTGTTCAGTTCTCCAATTCTTTGTTTGAGTATTTGTATATATCTTAGGAAATGAAAAATACTGGGGGTCCTCGATTTGAGTAGTTGTTTTGTTCCAAAAAATTTCTACTCAAATCGAATCTATTCAAATCGAGGCAAAGAATCCATACAAAATCACATGTTTTGTTCCAGAGTCCAAAAAATGTATCAAAACAATGAAAATTTTGATCATTTTTTGCACATTTTACCTCGTTTCTTAGCTTTACCTATGTGTTTTAGATAACTTAATTTATTTCAAGGCATATTCATATTGTTTTTAAACAGAAATTCACAAAAAATATGTTTTTGAAACAAAACAAAAATATGAGAACCTTGCAAATGTTAATTCACTGAACAATTTGTAAGGTTTTTGAATTTGAACTTTTTAAAACCGTTAATTTTATATCAATTTTTTAAATTTTTACTTTAATTTTGTAACTTTAGTATTGATTTTTCGATCAACATGATAAGTTCACGCTTATTGCAGAATAATTTATGTTTTAAAAATATTTTCTGAAATGTTTTTATCAAAAATATTTGTTTTGTAAACAATTCAAATCGAAGAAATCTACTCAAATCGAATATTTTGGTGAGTAAAAAATTTTCTGTTCAAATCGAATCTACTCAAATAGAATCTACTCAAATCGAGGACCCCCAGTATACAAAAAAAAAAAATTAAGCGATGGATGAAAGACTGTTTGAGATGGAAAGAAAATCTGTATGACAATAGAAGCGTGAATGTAGTTGCAATTCACACTCCAGGGTATTATTTAATAAGGCGAAAATCCTAATTGGATTGAATTATCATCATCAACAACGGAGAAGAAAGTAAAGAAATGAATTGAGGAAAAAAGACCATCCTGGTTTTATGTTTTTTTTTCTCTCTACGTGTACTTGCTCTTTATTGTTCCTTATGTCTTCATGCTTTCATTCAGTTTTTCTTTTAAATTACAAGAAAATTAACAATTTTTCGAGACTAAATTGCAAAGTTAAAAGATTTTGTAGATAAAATTGGATTTTTTCATGTCGATAAAAATTGGTAATGCTGATGAATCAACTAATTTATAGAACACGGTTGAAGATATTAGCAAATTTTTATGAATTTGTCTAGCTTAGAATAGTTTTGAAACTAAAATTGTTTAAATTAAAACGTACAGAATTCATTTACAGTTTAAATCTTTTGGATTTTACCAAAAAACACTAGCAATATTTCCTCAGTCTTTACTCAATCTGATAAATCATTCTAATTTATCCAATCTATTTTATCAAGCGATAACCAACAATTAAACAACAGCTTACAGCAAAGACAATCACAAACTAGTGTATCATGTAGAAACCCAATGCGGATATATTCACACCGTACCATCAAAAGTCTTATGGATAGACCAAGATTTGCTCAGCATAAATTTAAAGGGTGGACATGAAGTACGGCCGAGACCCATATCGACACAGTTCAAAAGTTATTCCTAATTTATGTTATAATTATATCAGCTACAAAAACACTTAGTTTGAAGTTTGTCACTCGGGAACACTAAGAACCAGTATAGCTGATTTTGGTCCAAATATCGGCCATACTTCACACTTATTTGAACCACATTTTCTCGTAAATGTTAAAATATTATTAAAAAGTAATTAATCCTGAATTATGTCGCTATTTTGTCAAGTGTTTTAAGATGACTAGACCTGTCCCAAGTTCATAATTGAAAATGTATTTTCAGCTTGGTTCCTTGCTCAAAAAAATTTTAAGATGTTTTATTTGTATTTGTTTTAAGCACTTGAATATTTATGCAAAGTTTCAATCCATTTGTATAAACCCTTGAAGAAAAAAGTGACAAAATTGATTTTGACTAGGGTCGCTCCTAGTCCGAAATTGAAAATGTATTTCCTACTTGGTTTTTTGCTCAAAAAATTTTAGGATGTTTTATTTGTATTTGTTTTAAGCACCAGAATATTTATGCAAAGTTTCAATCCATTTGTATAAACCCTTGAAGAAAAAAGTGACAAAATTGATTTTGACTAGGGTCGCTCCTAGTCCGAAATTGAAAATGTATTTCCTACTTGGTTTTTTGCTCAAAAAATTTTAGGATGTTTTATTTGTATTTGTTTTAAGCACCAGAATATTTATGCAAAGTTTCAATCCATTTGGATAAACCCTCGAAGAAAAAAGTGAGAAAATTGATTTTGACTAGGGTCGCCCCTAGTCCAAAATTGAAAATGTATTTTTGGTTCTTTGCTCAAAAAAACTTGCTTTCAGAAAGCGTATTTTTCGATTTTCTCAGCAATGCCCCAACCAATTTGAAATCTGTTTTTTGCAAAAGATGTGAAATTCAAGGCACAAACTTTTCATCTCTGAACATTTTAAGCTATCTTGCTCCATATCCTCTCAAAATTCAAAAAACTGATTTTTCAATCTGAACAAAACCAATAGCTTCACACGTGAAAACGGTGTGAATATAATAATTCTAATTTTTTTCCAAACGATATAAAAATTTGTTAAATGCTTGTTTTGGATGAAAAGAAAAAGAATGTATGTTCCCGGATAACACAAGTCGGTTAATCGATCAATGATCCAACTCATAGCCGGTATGGCTCTGGCATGGAGCTGAATTCAATTTAGATCTGGCTTCACGCAAGAGTTACGTCAGATTTCTGATCGATTAACCAACTTGTACTTTCCGTGGCAAGAGTGCGAAACTGATAAATTAAATTTTGACCATTTTTGATCAGTTTTGATGATTTTTGATCATTTTTGAAAATTTCATCAGTTCCACACCCTTGTTCCGGGGCTCTAGCCGGCTATTATTAAAAAAGTGAAGATTACAAACTTAAATGAAAAGCTTTCAAATCTCTCAAATCAAATCAAATCTTTAAATGCTCAAATATAAATGAAACATGAATAATAATGTTGCAATTGAAGGAAAAATTAATAAGCTAAACGACTAATTTGTACGATCCATAAAAAAATGCTTAAAAATTATTGTTTTTTAAAACTTTCCAAACTCATGCAATATTCAATGTTAAGTTAAACAAAAGAAATATAATTATTGAAAATATTTAAATCACAATTATTGTTCTTGAACTTACCATTGAAGTTTAATTTAACTATTTTTTATTTGTAAATTAAAATACATTTTCAAATATTAAAAGATTCAACATTTCTCAACGTACAACTCTATTAATTCATACCTAATACTTAGTTTTTTCGAGTCAATCGTCTATAAAATTGCCAAAGTCTCTTGACAATTCGCACCAAATCGCTACGATAGTTTAAGGATGTCGCAAGATATGAGTAATACGAGTCATCAACCGTAAAATTTACATTTGAACGCAGTTCATTATAAAATGCTCCAGGAACGCTGAATGTATTATTCCATATTTATATACAATTTTTATGAATAGAGATGAAGATGATATGAAAAAAAACGAGAGAAAATAAAGAAAACGCTTGGTTGATTTTGCTATAGGAGAACGAAAAAATCTCGCTTACCTCGATGTTGCTTCATAACCCATAAAATTAATGGGATTTTCATTGCATTTTCCATCGATGAAATCTTTGTAATCTTTACATAATACTGCTGGGAAAATTCTTTCATTCCCTGGCTTTACCGTTTCCGCCCAATATCTCCAACTGAAGATAGATTTTTGTACCGTCATGTGAATGAAATTTAACAAGAGGGATTTTGAATTTAAAAGAATTTTAAGTCCTTGGATGATGTGTCTTGAAGCGTCTAATATTTTTTGAATTTTCCTTATTAGATTGCAGTCGTGGATATGAAATTTGTCGAGAGGAAGTAATAAAGTTTTGAAAAATTCTAACTTTTTGGATGGGAATTTCTAATTTTTAATTAAGTCCAAAATTCATGTGAGAGTTAAATCCTCTGTAGGGATACTGAATTTTATGTTTATGATTACATTGAATATTAATTTAATTTTTTGTCCAGATTTAGTCATTTTTTACACGGAACGACTTACTAAAATCTACATAATAAAGATGATACTGATCTAATGATGCTACTGCAATATGATTCATATTCACATAAAAGTATGTGTGTAAATGCAATTATATTTAAATATATATTTATATATTTCCATCCGCAATAATGTAAATTGAATAAATTGAGCAAAATAAGCATTCAAATTTGATGTGAAAATGGCTTTTTCAAGACTCTTCATCAATGCACTAATTGCTTTGAAATTCAAGATCGGATTGTGAAATTTGAATTACATTAATGTCTTACCTTTGATGGTGTGAACAGAAACCTTTACAAAATAGGTAGGAAAAGTAAATTATTGCAGAATTTTATGTTTAAAAAATAACAATTAAAAATTCATCTTATGATCTTACTATTAACGAGTTGCATGTAATTATTAAATTTAAATTGCGGGCAACCTGGCTGTAAATTTCCATTGTTAGGATAAAAGTCAACGTGACCTACACGATAGTTTGTTCCAATAAAATTCACATCTGTATGAATTGCATCAACGAACTCTATTCAAGCGAGAAAATAAAAAAAAAGTTTTCCTCTTGTATTTTTAATTAGATTTATTCGGAACTAGTACGAGAAGACAGAAAATTACCTGCGTCATTCGGTGAGAGTGGATTTTCATGAGATGGAAATGGAAAAAAGCCATAATGTGCAGGATCCTTTTGTTGAATGGGAAAATAGTGAGAATTTTTTTTTTTAAATCACGCTTAATTAAAATTGCGGTTTTATTTGCTTAACTTACCAATCCAGATATTCTGTTTTGCAAATTAGCATTATTGGATGATGGAAAAAATCAAACTAATTAATCAATTTTGTTAACAAACCTCAAACTCGATTGCAAAATTACCGCTTAATCTTATATTTTCCCATAGATAATTTATATAGCTCTCGTGCCATAATACCCATTATATGACTTCCAAAGCTATGACCTGGAAAAATGAAGCAATTTTTTTTTATTTCGATTATCAAGAGTTGAGCTTAATGAAGCATATAAAAATTTAAAGGTGATAATGAATTGTTTTTTAAACAGAAGATTAAAAGATATCGTTACAAACATTTAATGGACATTAATTAATTTAATTATGACAAAAAGAGAGGTAATCAACAGTATTTTAACAATATTGAAATTGCTGATGACATGAATGGATTTCTCGAGGGCATTTCAACCTTTAGCCCTGAAAATTCTGATTGCTCGCTTTTTACAGGTTCAAAATATTATAATTAACGTTTGGAACATTTTTAAGGCATTCAAGGAAACCTTTGTAAACTAGTTAAATTACTTTTCTATTAAAAATTCCATGAAAATTAACTTTTCACGAAATAAAAAATTTTTTCCTCTCAGAATTGCAAATGCACTCAATTGCATGTAAATAAAAAATAGCCTGTTGGTGATACCACACAAGCCCATTCATGTGGCACGAAAAAAATATGAATTTTACTCACCAACACAATGCACTTTGTTGATATCAAGTCCATTATTGATCCATTCGTGGAGAATCTACACATTTCAATTTTATAAAATATTCGCAATTTTAACAATTTTTTTATATTATTTCAAATAAAAAATTTAACTCACAGATCCCAAAATTTTTGCAATAGCTGTAAACCTTGGAATGACTGTGTAGTATTCACCTTGAAAATTAAATTTAATATTATTCAATAATTCTCTTATCTTTAATATTTCATCATTATTCGACACGTACCAAAGGAGTATTGCCCCCAATCAATTATAACTAGATGAAGTCAAAAAATAATATAATATTAAATCAGCAAATCATAAGTGAATTTTACGCAAAGTCAGACTTTATACCAATGTTATGATCTCCACGTCTAATGTAAGCTCTTGAAATGGTTTCAGCACTTTCGGAATCAAAGTCTTCTATCCAACCTGAATGTATGTTTTTTTTTTTTCACATCGACAATTTCCATTAGTGGCTTATGAATGATTCACTGATAAAACATTAATAATCTTACATATATACATACCATGAACACTGCATGAACATCAATATAATATAAGCATTTTTCGTTGATTGGTAAAATTTTCATAGTGCAAAGAGAGGAGAGAAAATATAAATAAAAAAAAAAACTTTAATTAACAACAAAAATGTTAATGGAAATGAATGAGAAGGGCTTACTATAGAAGTGTTTTTCGATCAAACGAAAAATTTTCATCGCTCAATAATTTCAAATAATCCTTTATGTAGTATCGACTGTAGTTCATGTAGGTTTGTCTATGGTTGAATGAAAAACATAGAACGAGAATTAAGAGAGAATATACCAAAATGCACACAATAACATATGGATGTGTAAATAGGGCTTTGTGCACTTGTTTGAATTTAGAAGGCAATTTTTTGTTCAAGATTTTCTAGAATTGTTCTAAATCGAAGTCATTCCGAGATACTCTTAATAGACAAAATCTAGTTTAACTCGAAATTCGGCAAGAAAATTCAAAATTCAGACAACAATCGCTGGTCAGCTTATTAATTGACTCTAAACTTGTTTGCGAAATGACCATTTTTTAAAGTTTATAGTCTAAAATTAAAAATGATTCAATCAATGCTAGACACATGCATAAACAATATAATGAGAATTAGAATTGAAGGTTAAGAAGCGGTTTTAATGAATAAGCAAAAATCCTGTGCACTTTAAAAAACAAAAGTAAACTTAAGCATGCAATTTAATTTAAGTCATTAAAAATATGAACAGCAGTGATGGGCAACCTTTTTTATATCATGGTTCTTTAGTGATAAACCATGACCGAATCCGCACACGACTTACAGTTCGTGTAACTTTAATGTGTCGCAGCACATGGGTTCACCATCACTGATGTACAGTTCTAAATCCGCTTAGTCACAATTTATAAATAATAAAAACTTTCAAATATTTTTCGGTCAACTTCACACAAGTAAACTTTTTTTTATACAAAAACACCATCCGACGATGAACATTCTACTAGATTTTTTAATAATTTATAAACATTTCCTTTGTTTGTCGAATCGTATCTAAAATAATAAATATTGAAACTTTCCTTACCCATACACAAAATTAAAATGCACCATGTCAAACTTGTCGATATTTGGAACAATTTGAGAAGTTGATTTTATTTTATGATAATAAATTGCAACACCAAGTAAACTAAAAAGTAGAACTTTAAAGAGTTTTTAAGTAATAATCGCTCCTGTTTCTCCTTACAATCTGTCAACTTTTAATGAATTTTTATTAAAGATAAAATTGTTTTTTTTTTACCAGTTGTTAAAATAATAATAAAAGTTGAAAATAATTTCCAAAACTTTGTACGTTTCATCACTATTTGTTAATTATTAGAAGTATTTAAGTCTATAATGCTTGAAGTTTCAAGAAATACTGAAGATGTTTTAAGAGAAAAATTGTATCATTTCCGTACTTCTTGTGCACATTTAATAAGCAGCTTAAATTTAAAGCTAAGGTCTTCTTTCTCTGTGCGGATTTTTTCTTAAATTTTGATAGTTCACCTCAATATAGCGGAGATTTTCTTTTTTTTCTCTTCTTTTCAATGCTGAGGTCAATGACGACTGATTGTTGATTTTTGTTATGACTTAATGAAATATTTATCAGTTTTTTAATAATTCATAGAAGATTTGTTTGATTCTTTAAACTGATAAGTCTTGTGGTGCAAGATTTTGCGAAAGAATTTGAAAATCCGGAAAAATTGTAAAGAAACATTAAGATTTGATATTATTTTAATTCATCAAGCTGGAGGTTGGCCTATAATCTTTTTTTCTTAACAAAATACAGCTCCAAAAATTCAAAAAAATTGAAAACATGAGGGACATTTCTCAAAAAATCAATTTTGCCAAAGTTCTCAAATTTGTGCAATAAAATCTAATTTTGATTTTGAATTATTTTCATTATTTTAATTTTTCAGATAATACAACTTAATTATAAACTTCAATTTAAAATTAAATTTATTTAATTTAAAAAAATAATTTATTTATTATCACGATTTTAGTTTTAATTTCAGAGAAAATTGAAAATTTCAAACAAAACTAAAATAAAGAAGAGAAAAATCGATAGTAAAATAATTTCTTAATATTGACAGAATCTTACCTTGTACGACTTTCTGTGTTTCTAAAGTTTTGCACGAAATAATTAAAATATTTTTTTGTTTTAATAATTGAACTTGACAGGTTCAAAGCATATAAATAGAGAGAAATTTTCATGTAAATTCATCATTCAGTTGAATCTCATCAAACTTTAACATTTAAAGTAAATTCAAATCTTCAAATAAATTTTAAAATGAAGTTCACTTTGGTAATTGCTGCATTCTTTATTGCTGGTAAGTCTTAAACATTGTAAAGAATCAAATAGAAATTTATTCTTGCTAAATTACCAAACAGGAAGCTTTGCTGGTTCTCCTTCCGAACCTAAACTTTGTGACATTGTTGCTCAGATTTCATATGAGTTTTCATCATTCACTGCAAGCCTTCTTCAAATGTACATTCTTAACTTACCACGCGATAATACATTCACCAGTGATGATAAGTCACAAAAATTGATTCTATTAGGAAAAGCAGTCGATGAGAATCCCGAAGTTCCTGAAGAAGATAAGAAAAATTTCCAAAAATTGGTTGAAAGAAATGTTGAATTAAAGGCTTGGAATGATCAACTTACGCATGCAAATATTTGGGATTGTCTTGTTGAAATATTTACTGGAGCTTTGAGTGGATTTTGGACTCGTCCATAAATGATTGGGAAATGATTTTTCAAAATTATACAAAATCAATCTTCAAATTTTAAAGATTTTAGAAAAGAATCCGGGTTTTTGAAAGTTTTACCGGATATTTCATCTGCTAATTATCATTTTATTAATTTGTTTGTTTCGTTGAAAGCCTTTTTTGTTGTTAATTTAATAATTTATGAATAAAGCTATTTTTTGAAAAGTAATTTTTGTTTTTATAGATAAAATATTTATATCAAATATAAGAATGAATCTACTTTGAGTTTCGCTCCTGATCCAATAAAATGAATGAATTTTTTGAGACAAAAACTTTTTAAAGTTCATTATCACCATTTTCACTCAATTTTGAAAAGGGTACAAAAAGAAAACCTTCAAATAGTTTATCACTGAGTAGATATCCCAAAGTATTCCCGAAAGTAAATCATCTTATAGAATTTTCTAGCCTAGGCTATTCCCAAAGATTTGTAAATTGAAAAAGAGAAAACTTTATTGGTCGGAAATTGTTAATTTTCCGGTCATTTCCCGCCTTTAGATAAAACTTTTCTTTGATTCTTTCATTCTCGAAACTTGACAATTTTTCGAATTAAACTCTTTATTAATATTTAATTGCATAAAAGTTTTAAAGTTAAAATTGAGAAAAAAAAAATTATAAAGTATCATTTTAAAGGATTTAGACTTAAAAAGCTTTGACATCCACCCGAAAAGATAATTTATGAAAAATTCATTACATAATTAAATTGAACCCTGTCTTTTCACCAGCTAGCCACGATGTATCTAAATCCCGAAACAATAAATATATTTCACAAATTCTATGTTTATTTACTTATGCTTTATAAACCTAATGTGAATACAAATATCCTGTATGATCGGATCAGATAGCTATAACAAAATGGATATCAATGAATCAAAAGAAATGAATATGATAAGATTAATCCTCACTTTTTCGTGGCGCGATTAATGCGTGATATCGCTTGGCTAGATTGATAAAAAGTGAAAGAAAAAGGGTAAAGCTAACTGAGTGTCGAAATATTCGAATAATTCGACTGAAAAATGTATGAAAAATGACCGTTATAATAATGAAGAATTTTCATCGTCCCCCCTGCAGTTCCGGAGGAACTCATAATCATATGAAATTTAACGGTCACGTCGTGGTCTTATAATACGATTGCGAATGCTGCTAAGTTCTTTTCTCTTCTCGATTAGTTCGCGCAAATCAGGTCTTCTCTTCCTTTCGTAATCAGAAGGTGATTTAAAGGGATCGTCGGAACTCAGGCTAATTATCATATTTCCTCTTTGCAAAGCGACAGACCTAGAACTATGATTTGGAACTGCTTCAATTTGATGAATATCAGCGCGTACGCAAGGTACGACGTCAATTGGTTTTGGAGTTGTTGGTAGCGACTGAATGTCTAAATCGCCATTGCTCATGTTAATTGGTGTCGATACGAAGTCAAATTTTTGCGTGCGTTGACACAAACTGACGAATCCATCATTTTCACTAGTTACTGGCATCGGTTTATGCATACCTGCTGCGTCTGAGACCGAAGTTGTAATAAATAGGACTCGACTATTGAACTCAGCCATGGATATATCCAAGAAAGCAAATGTTGGCTTCTTGATTTCTCTTGAAGCACTAAATTGTTTTTTGAGTTTTTGAAATTGCTGTCTGTAAGCAATATTGTCGGTGCAGATTAGTTGAGATTCGTTCCACAGGATGGCTGTACTCACTGATGCAGGATCGTCGAATGAAACAAAGCAATTAAACGGTCTTACACCGTTCCATGAGCTTGTAGCTATCATCTTTACATCACCAAATTCTCTCATTATTGATATCACGTCACCAGCCCCAAATTTTGGTGGGAAATTTGTAGCGTAAACAATTTTGGAGTTATCCTTTCCCATATATTCCTCTTGTTGCTGTTGCGTGAGTTGGATATTTTGTGCCTTATTTATGTTGCTGTTCCCGTTGCTGCCTAATTTGCTGACAATTCTGGATCTATTCTCTTCAACCGCCATTTTCACTAACTTGCTTATTTTTTGTTGTTGTGATAATTGAATGCCCCTCTGAGATATCGAATTTAAATTTGCATTTACCAGTATATTGCAATGTTGCACGTATTTCGAGCTTTCAGCTTCTGGATCTTCTAAACGTATATCCACTTTGGCTATTAAATGTGCGGGTCGTCTTTCTAATAAGTTTCCGTTCTTCAACTTTATATCTGCGACTCTAATAGCAAAATCTTGCCCTGGATATGTCCTGCTGATGATTCCTCTTTGCCATTCGGATGGATTTTTCGTTGGATCCATATAAATTACATAGTCATTTACCTTGAGTAAATACTTTGCATTGGCGGAATTAACAGGACGTCGGGTAATAATTGGCGCGTATTCAGTAATGAATCGGTGTCGAAATGCTTGGACTAAAGCGTTTATTCGACGTGCAGGCTTAATTGACATTATATCCGGTGGGTTTGTCAATTCGGTATTGGAGCTGTCGTCCATTGCTGGATAATTTGGATATCCTGTCAATAGAAGGTAAGGAGTTATTGGGATGTCATCCATAGAATTGACTGGGACTTCTGTCACAGGTCTGTTATTTAGATTTGTCTCAATCCTTGCTAATGCTGCTTCCATTGACAATTTTGGAACTATAAACTTTCCAATCGATGCTTCCAGTCCTCGTTTGACGTCCTTAATGAGCCTTTCCCAAGCACCACCAAATTGTGGGGCGTATGCTGGATTGAAATGCCAATTTATACGTTTATCTTCAGTTGCCTTTTGTATTTCGTCACCACTAATGACTCTTGACGCTCCGACGAAATTCAGTCCATTGTCTGAGTACATATGCGCTATTGGACCTCTTCTTGCCCATAATTTGTCGAATGCTACGAGGAAGTTCGCTGTGCTTTTGTCATCCAGAATCTCGAAATAAACTGCGCGTGTCACCATACAGGTAAAAATCACTATATGAATAACAACTTTACGTCTGGATCTTCCTGAATATACCGTAAATGGTCCGAATAAATCACATCCTGTGTGAAAAAATGGCTTCTCGTTAATATCAAGCCTGAAATCAGGCAGATCTGCCATTCGTGGAGTTGCTCGATGGATGCGTTTATTTATACAGTGTAGACATCTCGATCTGCATCTTCTGACTGCTCGTCTTGCATTTATAATCCACACTTTGGATCTGATTTGTGCAACTATCGAATTATCTCCCACGTGTAAGTTGATCTTGTGATAATAGTTGACGATCGAGTCAGTCAATTCGTGAAAATTGGGCATTATTGGTGGACTTCGCATATTAAGCGAAAATCTTTCAGATAATCTTGTCGTAGCGCGTAGAAGGTTGGTCTGAGAGCAATAGAATGGAGATAAATTGTACAAAGGAGTTGACTTTTTCACGCTTCCGTCTTTCTGTAAGCTTTTCCATTCCTCTGGAAATGCACCTTTTTGAACCTCTCGTTCAACATAATTTTCAGCTCTTGATAACTCGAAATTTGATAGGCGACCTAATCTTCTGTGATATGGCTGTTGTGGCAGTGAATGGTCCGCAAAGCGCAAGGCTTTAGCAACCACTCTGATGAGAACTTGCCAGTTTGCTCGAACTTTTGATGAGATTTCGCGAAAACTGTGGATAAAGGAATGCTGGACCAATGAACCATTCACTATTAGGGTCACTATAATCTAATATTCTTTCCTTTGTGGCATAGTCGGCAACATTTTCCTTTGATGGAACATATCGCCATTTATCTCCAGATGTTAATTCTTGAATTTCTGAGATTCGAGGAGCTGTAAATGCGGTTCTCTGCGAATGGTGCGACTTAATCCATTTATAGACGATATCTGAGTCTGTCCAACAATTATAATCAACAAATTTAATTCTTCTATGCCATTGAATTACGGATTTGAGTAAGCGGGCTCCCATGAGGCTTGACATTAGCTCGAGCCTTGGAATGGACATGTACTTTAGCGGTGCTACTCGTGCTTTTGCTGCAATGAGTCGGATTATGACTTCTGAACCGTGTCTAATGCGTATGTACGCACATGCTGCATATGCCTCACTTCCAGCATCTACAAATATGTGAAGCGTAACTTCCGAATTGCTTAGTGAGTATTCGCTGTACTTTCTTGGGATCTCAAGTTTTGTCACTTCACCAAAATCTCTCAACCACTTTGCAAATTCCTCACAAATTTCTGTTGGTGGCTTTTTCTTCCAATCAGTGCCTGCTCGCCACACATGCTGCATAATCATGTGTCCACGTATTCTGAATGGCGCAATCTGGCCCAAAGGATCAAAAATTCTCATAACAGTACTCAACATTTCCTTTTTAGTTGGCATGTAATTGTGCTCAGTGCATTTGGTGATAATGCCGTCATCTTTTAGTCTATAAACATAAACGTCATTTTGTGGCTTCCAGAAAATCCCAAGAACTTTTGTGATAAGTTCCTCATTATCACTGGCTATTTCCGTCATTTTCTTGCTGACGTGTGCTTGTGGCAGGTTCTTGAGGAATTCTTTGCTGTTGGATTGGAACTCTATTAGTGGCCAACCAATTCTTTCAAACATTTTGATGAGATCGTTTGCGACCTTTGATGCCTCTTCAACTGTATCTCTGCTATCCGGTGCGTCGTCTACGTACATTTGATTTATTGCAACATCCGCAGCTTGTGGAAATTCGTGCATGCTGTTTTCGGCGTGTTTCAATCTGACTGAACTTGTAACCGAAGGACTTGATGTTGGACCAAATATAACTCGCGTCTGTCGATAAATACGTGGCAATTTCGAAGTGTCTCCATCACGCCAAAGAGTCAATTGACTAAATTGATCTTCTTCCTTTAGTAAAACTTGATTGAACATTGCTTTGACATCGCTTTGATACGCTATTTGTCCTTCACGTAAAGTGCACATTGACTGAGGAAGCGGTACCAAATTGTCTGGGCCTTTTAATAATTTGGAATTAAGTGATGTGCCTTTGTAACAGGCGGCAGTGTCGTTAACCCAACGAGGCTTGGGAGGAGTCTTATTTTTATTGAATGTAAGGAAACCATAGACGTAATTACGTCTCGGATGTCTATTTGCTTCTTCCCGATATGTCTCGACTAACCATCCCTTTTCTACTTGCTCTTTAAATAGGCTGTTCACATATTCCATCA